ATTCCGTATATTCAGAGCGCTAAATCTTTATAAATGTGCTTTTATTGGTGTGTCCTTACCTCTTGAACCAGTTTCTGGTCACCTGTCCTATGCAGCCTTAGTTTTGTTGCAACCACCCATTCAATTCTGTACGAAAGGTATCTGCATCTACAGGTAGAACAATGTTGTGTGAAAGTGTGCAAATTTTTTCATCAGTGCATAGGACTTCACCCACAGTTAAAGCTAGAACAAAAGCTCAGCTTCTTCCTATGTTTCCTGAAAATGTAAGAAACTTGCCAAGAAATGAATTTTCCTTCTTTATGTTCTGTTGAACATTTTTAATGATATTTGACCATGGGAAGGGAGGCACTGGATCTGTGCCTTTTCCATAAGGCATGTGCAAATTTGCAAGAGCTTTATACCAGTACCTGTTTGTAAAAATGCCTTCTCTGCATGAGACTTCTGGACTGTTCCTGCAACATGTACCATTACTGGCTGCAAACCGTACACCCTCACAGATAAGATTTGCCAGAGGAAGGGATGGTTCAGCACTATAGGCAAGTCTATGATGCGATGTTATACATGTGCAGTCACCCTTTTTTGTGCTGCTATAGCAGAGGGGGAGCCCAGCATCTTATCTTAGATGGGAGCCTTCTTCAGTTACAACATTAAGAAGCAGCAGTGAGAAGTGCACTAAAAGGATGTGTGGAGAGAGAGGGAAGACAAGAAGAAGAAATATGCCCTTTTCCTTAAATTTTCTATTCCTTAGACTTATCTTTCATTTATCTCACTTTCTCTCTTGCTTTTTTCTCATGCCTCTTCCCCTTGCTTAGTCTCCTTTCATCTCCTCTTTCCAGATCTCCCAGTCATTACCTGACTTTCACCGCCTGTCTGCTGCGTTTGGATTCCCTCTATTGCGGCCGCTTACCGTACCTCCTCACCTGCTCCTCTGCACGTTGTTCTTTTCCTCCCTCAGTATCCTGCCACAGTCCAGTGATCATCTGTAATCCAGCAAATAAGGGGGAAAACATAGGTGCCACCTCCCTTTCTGAGCCTTCTAGCTTATATTGGTTATAATTCAGTTGGCCAGCTCATAAGCCTGACTGCTCAGTCTCAGACTGGCCCTGGCTTTACGTGTTGAAAGGACACTTGGTGGATATTTTCATGAAGGCCACAGGAGCATTATACAGTTCTATATAACAGAGCTGAATTTG